ATGCTGCTCGTGGTACTACTCGTCGTGCTGCTCGTGGTACTACTCGTGATACTGCTCGTGGTACGTCTCATGATGCTGCTCGTGGTGCTGCTCGTCGTACTGCTCGTCGTACTGCTCATCGTGCTGCTCGTGGTGCTGCCCGTGGTACTGCCCGTGGTACTAGTCGTGGTGCTGCTCGTGGTTCTGGTAGTTAAGGATGCGGTAACTCAGATTTTAGGAGTTGGTGTTAAAATCAGATGAGATTTGGATCGGTGTCTTCCTGCTGGTAATACTACCGTTCGTACTACTGTTATTACTACTGTTTGTGTGTGTGTGTGTGTGTGTGTGTGTGTGTGTGTAGCATCTTAAAGACATCATCCTGCAGTCTAACCCTCTACTGGAAGCCTTCGGTAACGCCAAAACTGTCCGCAACGACAACTCCAGCAGATTTGTGAGTACAGCTATATTCAGACAGATTTATATACAGTAGTAAAAAGTATACTACTATTATATACTACTAACACACTTGCACTGTCCTTCTATCAGGGTAAATACTTTGAGATCCAGTTCAGTCGAGGAGGAGCTCCTGATGGAGGAAAAATCTCCAACTTCCTGTTGGAGAAAAGTCGAGTTGTTTCACAGAATCCTGGAGAGAGAAGCTTCCACATCTACTACCAGGTACTCAAATATATACTACTATGTACTCCAACATGTACTACTATGTACCGCAAGGAGTACTACAACATGTGTTCAGTTTGCCTGATCCTTATTTGTTCAGTATGTTCCTCCTTCCATTCTTGTCAGTTCCTTTTCCATTCTCCATATCCTTTCACTTCCTTCTCCCAATTCGTCACTTCCTTTACTGATTCCTTAACTTCCTCTCTGAATTCCCTCACTACTTCTTCCGATCTTTTCACTTCCTCTCTTGATTCCGTAACTTCCTCTCCCAATCCGTTCACTTCTTCTTCCAATGTTGTCACTTCCTCTTTCTATTCTTTAATATACTCTCCTGATCCCGTCACTTCCTCTCCCGATCCCGTCACTTCCTCTCCCGATCCCGTCACTTCCTCTCCCGATCTTATGTTAACAGAAGTGTTGGTTTTAATACAAAAAGAACATCAGTTGAATGAACGTAATAACCTGACCCTCTGACGTCTGTCCTCAGATGTTGGAGGGGGCGACTAAGGAGCAGAGGGAGAACCTCGGGGTCACGACCCCCGACTATTATTTCTATCTCAACCAATCAGGAACCTACACTGTGGAGGACATGAACGACAAGAAGGAGTTCTCTGATACTATGGTCTGTATCTGTCTGTCTGCTGAACCGTCTGTCTGCTGAACCGTCTGTCTGACTGACTGTCTCTGCCTGTCTGTCTCTCAGGAGGCCATGTCAGTAGTGGGTCTGTCTGTGGAGGAACAGGATTCAGTTCTTCAGCTTGTTGCAGGAATTCTTCATCTGGGAAACATCAGCTTCAGAGAGGAAAACAATTACGCCGTGGTCGAAAGCCAAGACTGTAAGAAAATACACAAAGTACACTAAACAACACAACAGATAAAGGGTGATAAGGGGTCAAATAAGAGCCAGTGAGATGATGAAGGTTTATGAAGATTTTCTTCAGAATCAAAACTCATTTTCATTGATGGCTTTCTCTAAACTAACGTTTAGTCTCCGCCTGTCTTCCTGTCAGTCCTGGCGTTCCCGTCCTTCCTGCTGGGGATCCCTCAGGACGGTCTCTGCAGTAAGCTGACCAGCAGGATTATGGACAGTAAGTGGGGCGGCAAGACCGAGTCCATCGCCGTGACTTTGAACACGGAGCAGGCCTGCTTCTCCAGAGACGCCCTGTCCAAAGCTCTCTACACCCGACTCTTCGACTTCCTTGTTGATGTCAGTTGCTTCATCGCTTCGTGTGCACATTTAATTGAACACTTTATTTTATTCTGTGTTGAATAACTGGTGTGTGTGTGTGTGTGTGTGTGTGCGCGCGTGTGCGTGCGTGCGTGCGTGCGCAGTGTGTTAATAAAGCCATACAGAAAGACCAGGAAGTGCTCAACATCGGAGTCCTCGATATCTACGGCTTTGAGATCTTCCAGGTATAAACACAAACACGTTGGTACTTGATTGATTGATTGACTCCACTGATCTGATTAGTAACTTGTTGTTTCTTCTTTTTCAGCGAAACGGCTTCGAGCAGTTCTGCATCAACTTCGTGAACGAGAAGCTGCAGCAGATTTTTATTGAGCTCACGCTGAAGGCAGAACAGGTGAGACATCATGACATCATCGCATCGTGACATCATCACATTACTTTTCCCTCTTATTTAGGAGGATTCTGTTTGAACCTGTGACCTTTTTTCCTGTATTATTTACAGTTATTGATCAGAAAGATTTTGTCCTTTTCTACTTTATACATCAACATGAATCTTGTGTCTCTGCAGGACGAATACGTTCAGGAGGGGATCCAGTGGACACCCATCGAGTATTTCAACAACAAGGTGGTCTGTGACCTCATCGAGTCCAAACTGGTGAGTCGACTGATCGTCTCTGTGTCCTCGAACACATGAAGTTATAAGTATTAAATGAATACAGCTCTGTATTCTCTGGACGTTTCCCAGAATCCTCTCGGGCTCATGAGCGTCCTGGATGACGTTTGTGCGACGATGCACGCTAAAGGTGAAGGAGCGGATCAGACGCTGCTGCAGAAACTTCAGGGACAGATCGGATCCCACGAACACTTCAGCAGCTGGAATAAAGGATTCATCATCCACCACTACGCTGGGAAGGTACGCAGTACACCTGTCTGTCTGTCCAGGTGTTCAGCCGTCTGAATAGAATAGAATAGAATAGAATAGAATAGAAATATACTTTATTCATCCCCAAGGGGAAATTTGTCTGTGGCAGCAGAAAACAGGGTTACACAATAAAATAGAAATATTAGGTATGGAAAATGCACACTATATACAATATAATAAAATAACAGAGCAGGACCTATTAAATTTAAGAAAATAACGTAATAAAAATGCACAGTATATACACTAAATAGAATCATATTAAATTAACTAAGTAGGAGAAAATAAACAAAACAGTAGTGCAGAAGATCACCAACAGCAGCAGCAACAGTGTAGCAGTGTTACAGTCTAGTGTTTGATTTGGCCAGAGGTGATTTATTATAGAGTCTAATAGCAGAGGGCAGGAATGTTCTCCTGTATCGGTCCTTGTGACAGCGGAGCTGAATCAGTCTGTTGGAGAAAGTGCTCCGCTGTCCCTGCAGTAGGTGGTGGAGAGGGTGGTCCGGGTTATCCAATATGGACAATAGTTTCTTCAGTGTCCTTTTCTCTGTCTGTCTGTCCAGGTGTTCACCCGTCTGTCCGTCTGTCCAGGTGTTCACCCGTCTGTCTGTCTTGTCCAGGTGTTCACCCGTCTGTCTGTCTTGTCCAGGTGTTCACCCGTCTGTCTGTCTGTCCAGGTGTTCAGCCGTCTGTCTGTGTGTCCAGGTGTTCACCCGTCTGTCCGTCTGTCCAGGTGTTCACCCGTCTGTCCAGGTGTTCACCCGTCTGTCCAGGTGTTCACCCGTCTGTCCGTCTGTCCAGGTGTTCACCCGTCTGTCCAGGTGTTCACCCGTCTGTCCGTCTGTCCAGGTGTTCACCCGTCAGTCTGTCCAGGTGTTCACCCGTCAGTCTGTCCAGGTGTTCACCCGTCTGTCTGTCTGTCTGTCCAGGTGTCATATGATGTCAGCGGCTTCTGTGAGAGGAACAGAGATGTGTTGTTTAATGACATCATCGAGCTGATGCAGAGCAGCGAGTTGTGAGTATTCTAACTGAGCGTTACAGTATGAAACGGTAAAAACTTTGAAACGCAGCTTATGAAGCATGATGTCTGATGACCTCATGATGACCTCACAATAACCCCCCCCCCCCCCCCATCTGTGTGGTGTGTTTGTGGTCAGTCCGTTCATCAGAGCTCTGTTCACTGAGAACCTGGAGGCGGAGAAGAGAGGGCGTCCGACCACCGCCAGCAGTAAGATCAAGGTGAGAGAGAGAGAGATGTTGTCTTTCCTCTAGCGCCACCTTCAGGACGAGCCTTAGAAGAACTTGTGGTCCTTTCGAACTTTAGGACCAGATGGTGGGATGTTCGTTAGAACGCCACCTGATTTTACTGATTTTATTGCTTTAGATTGCTGATCTCATGGTGTCTCACATCAGATACAACTGGTAAAACTGCCCCTCCCCCCTCTCTAACTTTTTAGAAACAAGCCAACAGTCTAGTCCAGACTCTGATGAAGTGCACCCCCCACTACATTCGCTGCATCAAACCCAACGAGACCAAGCGTCCCCAGGACTGGGAGGATAACCGGGCCAGACACCAGGTGGAGTACCTGGGCCTCCGAGAGAACATCAGAGTCCGCCGGGCGGGATACGCCTACAGACGGGCCTTCAACAAGTTCCTGCAGAGGTACGCCATCCTGACAAAGGAGAGCTGGCCTCAATGGAAGGGCGAGGAGCGCAAGGGAGTCCTGCACCTCCTCAACTCCGTCCACATGGACCAGGACCAGTTCCAGCTGGGCAAGACCAAAGTCTTCATCAAAGCTCCGGAGTCGGTATGAAACACAGCTCGGGAAGCGGGTTTTATCCGGCTGTAAATTTTTTATACCATGAGTTCTGTTTCTGACGCAGCGGCATTCTGGGTATCGTAGATCCCAGAAGTCTTTATGTTTGTTGTCTCGGTGTCCTTTTTCTTCCCTGTAGCTCTTCTTGTTGGAGGAGATGAGGGAGAGGAAGTATAACGGTTACGCTCGGGTCATCCAGAAGGCTTGGCGTAAACACATCGCCGTCCGCAAGTATGTCAGGATGAGGGAGGAAGGTAAGACCGTCTCCTACAAGTGGGTTAAGGAAGCCATACGTCTTCCTCTCTACTAAGTCATTTTTCTGGTTCCTCCAGCCTCTGACGTCCTGCTGAACAAGAAGGAGCGACGCAGAAACAGCATCAACAGGAACTTCGTGGGCGACTACCTCGGGACAGACAACCACCCGGAGATCAGACAGTTCGTCGGCCGCCGAGAGAGGATCGAGTTTGCCGACGTCGTGGTGAAGTTCGACCGAAAATTCAGGGTAAATACTCAAGTCCAGAATTCAAGGATTCAGGGGATGCACAACGGAAGTTTAGTTTAGTTGTAGCCTGTTGAGTGCAGCTTGATCCTGAACCACAATGGATCCAGGTCTCTGTGAAGATGTGGGCTCAACAGTCACCGACGTACCGTTGCTTTCATCCATCTTATTTTTCTGCTACCGGACATCAGACCAGCCAGGAGCATGCTGGGTAGTGGAGTAGCCTCAGGTCCTAGCTGGGTTAGCTTAGCTTCTATCTTGACTCTCCTCCCCGGGGCAGTTTCGTGTCGTTTTGGTCCGGCAGGTGTGGTTGGTCGGCGGTGATCGGTGATCAAAACGTGTACATCACTTCCCTGGTGTTGCTTAAGGGGCGGAGTTGTGGATGAATTCTATCTTTGTGGCACCGCAATCCAATCCATCTCAGAAATCAGTCATGATCAGCTGTTGTTAAGTCAACCGTCCAGGAACTGGACAAGTCGTCCGTACCTGGCAAGCTCGGATGTACCAACATGGCGCACTCCCACTCATCTTCTTCTGGTTTTATGTGGTACTCTACAACAAACATGTTCTCCTTTGTAGCCTCAGTAGCTTAGGTCTCCACAGGAGGAGGGACATACTGCAGCTGTCTGTCATGGTATCCACTGTGAGACAAGAGAAGATCTGCAGCACCGGGACCGCAATGACCTCAAAGGTATCGGGCTGCAGGTGTAGAAGTTCTAATGGTGAGGAAGTGGGAGTCAAGAGATCTTGGTTGAGACATTGGGCTCTGGTGGGGATAATAGCAATAGGTGAGGTAAGTACTCCAGGAGGAGGTTTTGAAGGAGCATCGATGAGGCTCAGACCACCAGGACGGTTAGTATGGACTTGGTAATACAGTGCAAAATTTTAATGGTCTGACATCATCAGCATCAGAATCAGAATCAGCTTTATTGGCCATGTACGTATGTGTACGCATACATGGAATTTGGCTCCGGTTTCCACTCTGCACTCAATGTAGTCACATATATTCATATGACAACAAAGCAACACATCAATCCAGCAAACCTGCAGCGGATCCACACATTCCACCACACAAGAGCACAAGCCATCAAATATTATTCATAAAAACGTTACTGCAGATGTAAGAAAACAAACTTAGTTTGTCACTTACTGAATTCTTTGTTGACAAAGAGTTTAATCCCAGTACATCGTTTCAGTTCCAGTAAGAAGTCCTTCTCGATTCATGGACGCCAGTGACAGTCGAGCCTCCCCAGTTGTATTTCGCCGGTCTACGGCGGCCGGGTCGCAGCGGGGCCGGGATCCCTCCTCCACCAGCGTGCCCGCCGGCCGCGGACCGCAGTTGTGGAGCTCCCTGCGAACGTGTTCGTTGATTTGTAGATCCACTCGGGTTTCTCCAAAAGTTTTCAAAAGCACCGTAGTATCCTGCCGTGCTATGGCGTCCTCAGGTTAGCGTAGCATAGCTCCAAACACCAAGATGCTCAGTTAAAATGAAACACATTCAGCCATAAAATGTGCGACGCTGTCAGCCAGGAACACCGTTCATACAAATCCTTTTCCTGGCTGAGTCAGGGCTGCTGTTATAATGTTATTTCTTCCATATCTTTCAATTTGAACTCTTACTACTCCAACTAACTTCTGCCAGCTTTCTTAAATTAGTCACTCGCTGGCCCACTGACCAATCACGGCGCACGTTAATGCAGATGTACTGAGGAGGCTACCTCGGTGCCAAAGGCACGTCAAAGAATACGCCCAACATGTCAAACTAAAGATCTGATTGGTTGAACACTATGACAATCAACAATATCGTCCCCAT